AGAAGAGCTTAAAGAGATTGCCAACGTTGACAAGACTGTGGACTAGCTTTGACTCTTTGAACAGTGACAATCGTGCATCAAAACTCGCTTGTCCTGTTGACATAGCGTTGAAAAGTGAAAGTTCTGCACTCGCCATTTTGCCCGATCGATTGTCTAGTTTTCTCTAATTTTCATACCAACAACAAACTAACTTAAAAAATAAAGACGCAACCTATTGCTTAATTTGCTGTGTCGCCCCCTATCAACACGGAGACCTACAACACATAAAATACATATTCTGAAACAGTATTTTAACAGTGAATTCTAAAATTCCATGATCGGGATATAGGGGGGGCACATGCCCCCCCTTGCCCCCCCCTAATGTCGCCCATGCATGCACCCCTGCTTCAATCGTACAGCCCAGCTGGACGGCTGCTTCTCTCCACATAGGCATGACATTCGAAGAAACACAGCCTGGCCAATGACTTTTGAGCGAATCCAAAAAAAGTTATCCTGTGCAAAGGAAAATTCCTTCCGTAACCAAACTGTTTACACTGACCAATGAAAACTACACAAACACAATAGGTCAAGCTAAACAAAGGGAATGAGAGACAGAAATCTCATCTCCGTGCTGCCTTTACATCCCTATACCTGTACTTCATCAGCCAAGGGCATTAGGTAAATAGTCCTATTATAAGAGCAGATTAATGTCAAAACTATACTTTAAAAAGCTTAGCCACGCAGCCAGTGAGGAACATCCAGTTCCTGAACCTGCTTGCAGGTACAATAGTTGGGCAACACCAAGCGGGTCTATCCTGAATCCAGATCTGGGTCCCACCTGCCCAGACACACAAGGCCACCAAGCCCGTCTCCTGAAAGCGAACACCGATGGGTCCGGCTCCTATGCTCTCCTGTATCGTGTATCGACAGTATTCTCCTGTTTCGAGATCAGCTGGTGTTGGATTTCAAGTGTGAAAACCACATAGGAGAAACACGGGCAATCAGAAACTCCGGACATCAGGTGATGAGACCACTAAACCGTCACTGTACAGTGAGGTTGGCTGAGGAACGTGAAACAGAGTATCGGCCTAGACACACCCCCACTGCTAAGCTGTCCAAACCCAATCCATACCAATCAAGTCCTATAAGAGAGACAATGGACCCCCCTCAGCAATGCTCTTGGTGGGGTGCAACTCTAGCTTAGTTTTCATGACCTGTTCTAGTATCAAAATAACGTAAAACATCAACTGCCTCTAGAATAATATTTGAACACCTTTTTTAAAATTAAAGTGACACTGTTCAGGTATATCGTCTTTTCACAAAATGGCTGCGCACAATATTTACTCTAGATATGAGTCATATTTAAACATCATACCTTTTTTACAGTGAACATTTAATTAACTATTCAAGGCTCCAACAACCAGTCAAATAAAAATGGATTGAGGAATATCCATGTGATAGGAAAGTTCAGTTCAAATCCGGGGGTCACCAGATTGATTTCACTCTTGGACCCTTGAGCAAGACCTTTAACCCTCAATTGCTTCCATGAACTGTCTGACTCTGCTTTCTCAATTGTATGTTACTCTGGATAAAAGCATCTGCTAAATAAGTAAATGACCCCAGGACTGGTCCACAACCTCCACTACTGCTGCTCCCTGGCAAAATACCAGCCATTAACTCAAGTGGCACATGTGAACACTGCTACCGCTAATATTTTTTAAGCATGCTTCAACCTATGACAACCAGTTTAGAAAACCCTATGCAGCTGTGAACATTTTATCTCTTAATTATCATCTACTAACATTTACGTTTACACCACTTAAATTAATGCTTGCTTTAAATGCATTGTCACGCCATAAAAAAAAAACAATCCTATAAAGCCCCCTCGTTTGTGATTGTCTTAATCAGCCTTTCCATTTAGCTGATGACATGCTTGCTGTGTCAGGGAGAGGAATGTCTGTAACTGAAGGAACATCTCGCCAGACTCTCCTCAGGACTTGCCAGCTGTCCACGGCCATCAGCACCACTTACCTTCACAACCCCCCCATACCACCACCCATGCTGGAAAAGGCAGATGATCACTTTCCATGGGAGGAGCATCAGCAGGTGGTGCTCACTGAACTATAGACACCAACACTGAAATACCTTCATAATCACCTGAGAACCTCCAAGTAAAGCTTATATTAATGACAATGGCTAACTGCAGATTTTTTTAACACCCATCTACGGAACCACAATAATCACAGCTACTAAATCATAATTATCAAGAGTAAATCCCAATTTGTTGCCTGACAGCAAGCAACACTGACTCAATTGTGCTACAGCAGAAGAACAGCAGGGGTCACATGTCTCTGGCACTGGTCATTTTGGGGACGTGGGCTAATAAGTTGGGGACCCATGTGCTACAGGGTGACAAGGGCTGATGTCCTCAAACTTAGAACACAGAGGGGCATTGTCACTTTATCCAAGGGACATTTGGTCGAAATGGATGTAGCATGAAGGCGTCACGGTGTACATGGCAGGGATGCAAGACACCTAAAACCACAGCCACAAGGGAATGTAAATAATTAAATGGCCGGTATCTCATAAGCATGGCAGCTGCCCTACACAGGCAAACCTAAGCTGGTTCAGCTCCCCCACAGGCCTCCGTGTAGCATAGCAACAGTTCGGGAGCCTAGGGAGTGTTCACTCTTGGTAAGCTGGTAGGTAACCTATAAGCCACACAGCTCGCGATGACAATTTGCAAAATCGATAATAACAGCAGCGTCCTGAATCTGGTGGCTCAGTGGGCTTCAAAGATCAGCTTCGATTTCACTAAAGTGGCGCCCAAAGCTGTACGCACGACTTGTGCCAGTAGCCCTCACCCACCACTGTCTAGGGGCTTCAATGGAGGTGTGAGCAATTTTCCATGACACCTGTCACCAAGCCAACTCCTTCCTTTCACACGCAAAGTGTCACATGACACAGTGATGAGTGGAGGAAGCTCACACCTCTCGTGGCTGGCAAAGAACTTCAGCTTGCCTGACGTGAGCAGGAGGCCACGGTTCAAAAACCAAACGAGAAGGTTCAACCCTCAAACCAATTAAGAATAGGCTCTGCTTAACCTTGGAGCTGGCAGATAAAGCGCCTGACGTAACTAAAATGGATACAAGTTATGGGACCAGCGCTATTTTCTTTTTTTTCGTTTGTACAAAATCTCTCGGTGCTTTCGTTCTGCAACAGCAGATGAAAGCAGCAAGCTGCCCAGACACTGAGGACTCCCATTTCACCCTCCTCAGGGAGGTGCACATAATGAAAACATGCCCTGGAGAGCTGTGACACAGCTGGGGTCTTGCCTGTTCTGTGTGTCATAGCCTGACAATCCCAAAGCATTCCTCTGTGATACCCTTTTCCCCTGATGGCCCCTGGCACACAGTACAGTGTGTATAAACAGGAAGAAGGGAAAAGATCACCAACAGCAGGAGAGAAGACCAAGGCGGCTCAGTATGTACCTCACACAACAGGAAAACTACTGCTGAGGCAGCAGAACATGGGAACCAGCAGAGTTTCAAAAGACAATACCAGCCAAGAACCTTATGAAGTTTCTTTTAAAATTATTGCCATTTCACATTAAGGGTCCTGCTAGTTTCTGAATGCTGAGACATGAAGAAGGAGAATATACAGCACTCACTGCATTTTATGACCCTGAATAAATACAGAAAAACCAGCTAATTTTTTTGCTTATTCTTTAAGCTGAGGAGATAAACTACGCTCCAGTTTGGAGGAATGGCACAGTTCAGATAACTTACAAAACTTGTTGTCTGTGGTCACGGATTCAGGAAGTAAATAGCAGTGCAGCGTCACTCCTAGAAAACTCAGAAATCCTACGGCTTTGCACAATGATAACCATCTGGCTCTGAGCTGAACTCTTTCACAAACTAGTGTTATGTGCTACTGGAAGCACAAAGGAGAGATAAAATGTGTGAGTGATGGACAGAGTTTCATAATATAATTAAATAAGATGCAACCTAAAGCCAGTCCAACTCATTATAAGTGATGGTGTTCTTGTAGGAACCATGATAATGATCAGGGCAATGACGTCAGCAGGAAAAGAAACTGACATTTAATGAGGGATTTACACAAGGGATAATAAAGAGAAAGTCTGTGACCACAGATTACGAAACGGCTTTTCTCACTCATCTCCTAAAACCTCTTATCCAATACCTGGCTGAGGTGAGTCTATCCCTGGAAACACAAGGCATGAGGTGGGGGACACCGTGGGCAGGATGCACATCCATTGCAGGACATACAAATATATACAAATGCCCCATCATCCTGCAGATCACCCATTGGCCACACCAGACGAACGCACATATGCTATGCTAAGTGGGCCCTTTTGAAAACGGTGCAAATTTGGCAGATGCACTGCCTTGTGAAACCCGTCGTAAATAAGAGCAAGGCCGCCAAAAGCGGGGTTTCTGGCACAGCAGGATTGCAGGCACCTGTCCAAGGGAACCAGAGCAAACTGCAGCAGTGACATCAAGCAGCATTTCAGCAAAAGCCTCTCACCTCCACTGCACAGCAAGTCTCTTTTCTAGTATTGCAGACACAACACGGTCCGAATAAAACTATGCAATGCAGACTAATGAATGACACATTTCCCCAAGGCTTGTATGACCTTATAAAGCAATACCTGAAGTCACTCCCATCCCCCCAAGACACATCACTAATGGAAAATCCAGGAGCATTTTCAAATGCATCATTGCTGTAGCAATAGCTACGGGAGTTTGTCTACTGTAAGGAAGATCGAAATATTCAGCAGAATATGAAGGGGTTGAGGCTCAAATGGCAGATTTAATTGTTACTGTTTATTAATACTGTTTTCAAACAAAGTGCAACGGATTCTGCATTTCTGTTTGTCTCACATAAAATACGGTGGAAACCCAGGCGATCTCAATTGCAGGTCTCAAATAGCACCAGATTAACTGTTTGGAAATACCTATCAGTGGATTTACCAGCAGGGTAACATTTGCAATTCCAAACAGGACAGTGCAAATGTTACTAAATTGTTTTGGAGGTTTCTGCCTAAAACATACGGGCATATCCTAACACATCGTGCAAAAAATAAACTCTTACTTAAAATTTTGGTTCAAATGTCATTAAGAAAATTAATAATTTAGTCTTACAGTAAGTGCAATACTACAATATCAACACCATCGGGAAAAAAAATTCCACAGAAACCAACAACAATAGAGCAGCGGTTATTGAAACAGAAGCCCGTTAGTTTTATGACGATTCATCTACTTTGGAAACATCTCACAAGAAAGAGCTATAAAACTGTATTTATATCAGCTCACATGAACATAGCAGGAACCTTGAAGTGCGGTTTAAGCACACTTAACGGCATTTCATTAACATTTTCTCTACCTCAACAGTTGGCGGCTTTGAAGTCAGACTTTTTAATTTCAGTTTTGACTTTTGCTTTTACACTAAACGCCACATTACAAGCCGGACATTAAGACACATCGCATAAATAGGCGAGCAGCTGCGTTTCACTAAAACCGGCGAAGGAGAGGGGGGGGGGTCTGGGGGGGGGGGGGGGGGGGTCTACCTACATCTGTTAAAACTAGTAAATTTCAGCACCCGCTAACTTACTAACCTGGATCGCAGCTACAAGCTGGAATTCATGCTAAATGTAACTGAACAATCGGCAAATTCGCCACTTAACAAAAATTACCCAGAACGTGTATTCAGAGCTGGCAAAAAAACCTCAAGTAAAAACAAGTTGGCTAGCTGGTAGCCGTTAGCTTTGCGGCGACCAGCCGCCCACCTGTACAGCACGCGTGAAGAACACCCCCGCGCCCGACGCCAGTTTCTTCACGTTGAAATCCATGTTGTCCGCCAAGGCGCGCGCCGGTTCTCCGCAGCACGGGCCCGCCCGCCGCCGTCCTCTGGCACAGGTAGTCCGGGCTCCGAGGGAGCCGCGCGGTGCTGCGGCTCGTGTGTCAATCCGCCAAGTCAGAGTTCAATTATTCAGACTGCAGTTAAAGGAGACGCGCTGTCTTGGAAGGGGGTGGAAGGTATGCGGTCAGCTGTTAGGGTCCTTTACCTATATTTCATAGATAGCGACGTTTGGAGCCTTTAGCTATGTTACTGCCAGCTGCCGATATTTCAGATGATGCTCGAGCCAGCTAGTCAGTTAAAAAATACTGCAGTATTTTAATATTCATGGGGAAGAAGTTTTCTTTTCGCTAAAAAAAAATCAGATGTCGAATGCCTTGACCGGTTTTATTGCAAATTGTTTATTGATTTGGTAAATCCTACTGGGCGCATTAATAATAGAAAAGAAGCCTTTTTAAAATCAAACCTGCCTATTTTGCCCTGTGTTGTTCCTAGTGTATCATCATTCCAACGGGAGAATGCAACATATAATCACACAACTGACTCATCAACATGAAATTCAACAATTATATTTTTATAAGTACTGTTGCATCTTTTAACGAGCAGACAAATTAACTGGCATTCATGACATAATTTAAATTAATACATTATCCAAGTATATATGTATGTATACTGTAATTGTCCTTTTTATTTCTTTAAAATACGCACGTTGCTAACATTAACTACTATAAGTACTACCGTTTTGATATTCATATCCACCCAACTTTTTACGCTGTAACAGAACTGCATTTTATGAAGTTGCATGGTTAAATATGTGTTAAGAACTTAAATAATGGGCTGAACAGCATATAAGGAGTTCAATAAGTCGGGATTTCTAAATCCTGCTCCTGTCAATATACTTTGTTGGTTCTGGGTCAATTTGAACTCTTAATTAACATGCTTGACTGAGACTGTCGATAGAATTAGTGAGAAATAATCCCTATGCCCCCCTGTGCCCAGTCCAGGATAATTAGTTAGAATAATGATGGATGGATGGATGGATTTTTTTTTTTTAAATCACTGGACTAGTAGTGAGACAGGCAACTCAAACTGAAAATTCAGGCCAGATGTTTTTGCATTCCAGTTTTATGCCACCTGACGTGTGATGTAACATATCACACACTCAGGTGAGAGTGAAGCCATGGGTCCAGATTCTGGGTCTGATGGTTCTGATGAAACATTTCAGGGGGGTTAAGGGCCTTGCTCAAACGTTCCATGGACATGTAACTATGCTACCAAGGACAGGATTAGAACCAGCAACCTTCTTATCACAGGCACAGGAGCCTAAGCATCTGACCCCCACAACATCCCCCTAAAGGGTCACTGCATTGGCCGGGTACCAAGCCTACTTCATACTGCCTGGAAGCCACCACTATATTACTAACACTTCACATAAAATAGTTACTTATTTTTTGTCCAATATATTTTGGCCAATCAAGTTAAGAGTAGCTATTAGCTAACCCACAGGGTATGCACTGTACGGTATATTATTTGTACAAGGAAAGCAAAACATGGTGTTAAGGGAGTGTCTTTATCTCAGAAATGCAGAGTATAGCAGCACATTATAGTGTCCTTCTTTCTGCAGCTGCTAATTTAGTCAGGATGGCGGAGGGTAGCCCACCGCAGGGCAGGCAAACCGGACTATTCAGCTTTTGTGATGTGTGACTAAGTGCTACATAGTATAGACCAATCAGAGCCTGATGACAACCCTGGATCAGAGTGTGGAGGGAGGCGGTCTCCTAAAAATGCTCCCTTTGAGCAAATACAAAAGGTGCAGATAACGTGAGTATGGTACACAGCAGAGATCCCCGATTCCAGTCCTGAAGGGTCAGTCTGGGACACAGTTTGCAGATTTCCCTTCTCAAACACACCTTATTCAGCTCACTGGCTAATTGCCAGGTTTAGTAGCATGGAAATCTGCAAACTGTGTAGCAGACTGGCCCTTCGGGACCGGATCTGGGGAACCCTGGTATATGAACAGTGTATGTATAGCTACGTCATAGAAATTGGAAAATTGTTAAACCTATAAACAAGAGGGAACTTAATACACACAAAAAAATTCTGTGCAACACGACATATTTACAATGTCGCAGGTACATTGCTGGTTTCTCTGTTGCCGCAAGTGAACGGGTTAATTTTTAAATACATCGCAACAGGCCTGTCCACCCCATCACAAGTTTGGCACAGCCCAAGGCTGTGAAAATGTCAGCCATTCAGAGAATTTACTTTGCCTTCACCATTGGCCTGGTCACTGTCTCCCAGCCCCTCTGCCTTCACCATCATCCTTGTCACTGTGCTCCTGATCCTCTGCCTTCATCACAGGCCTTGCCACTGTCTCCCTGCTCCTCTGTCTTCACCATCATCCTTGTCACTATGTTCCTGATCCTCTGCCTTCACCGCAGGCCTTGCCACTGTCTCCCTGCTCCTCTGCCTTCACCATCATCCTTGTCACTATGTTCCTGATCCTCTGCCTTCACCGCAGGCCTTGCCACTGTCTCCCTGCTCCTCTGCCTTCACCATCATCCTTGTCACTATGTTCCTGATCCTCTGCCTTCACCGCAGGCCTTGCCACTGTCTCCCTGCTCCTCTGCTTTAATCTCAGCCCTACTTGGTGTGCTCCCGCACCCACTGGCAGAGCCTCCGTGAGTATGCTGAGGGGCTCACTGTGCAGAACGTCTTGCCCGGGTAGCGCAGGGACTTCCACAGGCACCCCAGTCTCCTCCAGAAGTTGTAGACGGTGACAATGTCAACAATGCCCACAAAGTAGCGTAGCTCTGGCCCATCGATGACGTGCAGCGGGTTCTTAAAGTCGGGCAGCAGGCGCCGGTGCTGAGCCCAGAACTCCTGCAGTTCCGGGTCAGCACTGGTCCCCGTTGGCTGTCTCGGAAGCTCCTTTAGTGGAACGTGTTCCTCTCCTCCTGTGACACAGCAGAGGTGTTCAGGGCTCATCTCTGATACCAGCACAGTGGCGATGTCCCCTGGGGCAGTTCCCGGGACAGAGGGAGGATCTGTGGGGGAGGGACTAGACCCTGCGCTCACTGACCTGCAATGACCAGTGAAATACAGGGACAGACACAAAGATCAAGTTTTACTTAGCTTCCAAAAGACAAAGCCTGCGTCTATCAATAGTAATGCTTACAGTAATCTCAACCTCAGTCTTGTAGTTATGCTTTTTACATTGTATTTATTTAGCAGGCACTTTTATCTAGCAACATACATTTTCTGAATCCAGCAACAGTCCCCGGTGCAACTGGGGTTAAGGGCCTCGCTCAAGGGTCCTACAGTGAAATCAGTGCTGGGTTTGGCGACCATCCAATCACAGATGCAGCATCCTAACCCACTGAGCCACACACCGTCACCAAAATAAAGGATTTCCAAGCCAGCCAGGAGTCAAATTTAGCATCTTCTGATTGGAAGCCGGCCATATTATCCATTGCACCGCTGGTCCACAGTTATCAACCTCGATCCCTGCCTGCACTCAGATATTTAACTTCCTAATTGTTAACTGGGACTATAGGAGCCCATGAGAGGCAGAAAGTAATATAACTGGAAATATTCAGTAACTGAAAGGGGAGGACATATTGACTTACTTACCCCTAGACTAATCAGGGGATTTTGTGGCTGCAGCGATTGCTGACTCACCAGTGAGGCTTTGGACCTGGGGAAGGCAGCCCTGATCCTGGAGTGCTGGCATCCAGCAGGTTTTCTATCCTACCTGATGAGCTGCTACCTGCCTCAGATCAGGTGTGCTTCATCCGGAACCAGGTAGGATGGAAAACATGCTGGGTACCAGCTCTCCAGGATCACAGTTGTTCTTCCCTCTACAGGGCAATGCACCAACCCAGTATAACACTAACCACCCTTGTTAACATGAATATTAAGATATCAGTAACACTTTACGTGACTGGGCACAAATTATATAGTATTATGTTATTACTTATGTATTAACCATAAACTAAGCCTTAGTTACATACTGATCTCAAGTTAATTCATCATTAATGAATCATGACGCATCCTTTATCAGAAGTAGCAATTTGTTCAAAATTTGTACTTCAATAGTAACTGAGCTATTATTAAGTATTTGTGTGCCATTACTAAGACTTCTAGTTAATTATTGTGAACTACAAGGCAGCAGCACAAGCAGATGGAGAACTTGATGGTTATAATCCCATTAGATTGTTAATAAATGTTTTTTTTTGTGACTTTTATTTGATGTAATTGTAAACAGCAACCAAAACCTAGTGGATGTGAAAGTGACCTTGAACACTACATAAGCAGAGCGCCGTGCTTTCAGATGCCGCTGGTGGCAGACGTACCTTTTGGCTCGCTGGATGAGCACGGCGAGGGAGCACCCACGCTCGTCCGGCTGCAGCGGCTGGCAGGCCAGCAGCAGACTGTAGTCCATCACGTCCATCCTCCGCAGGAAGGCCGTGTCGATCTCCACCTGGCGGACCAACCAGGAGCTCTGGTGGCCTGTGGACGCAGGGCAGAGGTCGCCAAACACCAGCGTGATAAACCGCCAAGAACAGAACTCCACTCACAACAACAGTAACTCAAATCACTACCAGCTACAGACCATTTTGATACACAAAAATAAATCATTATTTAGTCAGGTGGTCTAATTCTTTGTAATCCTTGCAGTCCACACATTCAAGATCAAATATTCAGTGATTTGTCATGATTCAGTGTTTCCCAACCTGGTTATTGGGGACCCCCAGATAGTCCACATTTCCAGGAGCTGGGAGGGACAAAAAACATGGACTGGCTGGGGGATCCCCGCGGACTGGGTTGGGAAACACTGCTCTAATTCTTTCCCACTGTTCTCTGACATATGAATAAGTACATATGTGTTTGAAGGTAACTGAAAACATTCATGGAAAACATCAAAGTCCTCCTTACCAAGATTGATGAAGTTTCCCTCAAAGTTCTTGTCCTTCAGCACCATGACCCGCTGGCTCTTCTCCAGCGCTGGGTCTGTCCATCTGTTCACCTCACAGCCCTTTATATCATACCTGGGATACAGACCCAAAAAAGCAGAGGTCCACACTGATAAATTACAGTCATGCCTGGGGCAGGTTGAACACACCGATACAGTCGAACTGAGCTCACCTGGCAATAATCCTGTCGTCGGGATGGAAAACACTCTGCATCACGATGAAGTATTTCTGAAACATGACGAGGGAGTGACTTAACTCTGCACCAACCGAAACGATATGTCAGTGAGGTTTGCTTTTCTGCTGATTTAAACTTTCATTACCTCCTTTTCATGGAGAATTTTAATTCTGTGGACACCTAAAATAAAATCATTGCAGAATTAGTATTTTCTATAATGTCATCTATAATGCATGCTGTAACGTAACGCTCAAGGTGAACATATTTATTTTTAATATATAGAACAACCTTATTTCACAAAAAACATCAGCCACATATGAGCCTCTTACAACTGCCTTGGAAAACGAGATATCTGCCGTTGTCAGGGGTCACACTATGGACGCCTGATCATGACACAACGATAACAATTACATATATATTGTGGCCACATTGTACTAATTGATTTCACGATGTATTAGACTGTGGGCACGTTAAATTTGTTCCCTTGCTTTAGTTAAATCGTTGGCCACATTTTATTAATTTGTTCCCACAATATATTAAAACACGGCCATGATATATACAGTTTTTATCATTCTGTCGCGAGCAGGGCTGCGTATCACACCACCCGATTCTCACCCAGGAACCTCACGAGCACAGAGTGGGGGTAGCTCTCCAGGTGCTTCATGTAGTTCCTCAGGTTCGACAGGAGGAGCCTCACTTCTTGTTTGCTCTGTGTCTTTAGGAAGAACCTCTTGTCATTCCTTGGCAAAGGAAGCACAGGGAACGTAGAGAAGACGTCATTTTTAAGGAAGGCTCAACATCCAAGTCATGTCAAGTGGCTTTTTACAGTAATTTTAATGACATACAGTTGGTGCAGTACACAGTGAAACTAATCAGCGTTCCTCCAGAACCATATAACATAAAGTGCATGTGTGCGAACACTGCAAGACGAAACAGTGGCACAAATGAAGACAATGCATTGCCGACCAGTGCACAATATTGATATTTACAGGTCCCCTTTTGTTTAGTAAGACAAAATTCATTACATTTATTTATCCAAAATCAAATAGAAGCTCAGAGAGCAGGATCTAGCAGTTAGGGGTCAAGGCGCCAGTGGTCATATAATCATGCTGGTGGCCAAAGGTTTTGAGCCCATGACCTCAAGGTCACAGTGTGTTGCTTTGCAGGTTAGGAGGCTGTGCCTGTAATTGCAAGAAGTAATTTCACTGTTGGACCCTTGAACAATTTCTCCAGGGACTCTACTTTCTCAAAAATGATACGAGCATCTGCTAAATAATTAAAAAGGTACAATACTGAGGCCTGAAATATGAAGTTATGAGGTTTTGGGGGGGGTGGTCCGCACGTGAGGAAGAACTTGGCTTTGCTCTTGGAGTTGCTGATGAACTGCAGGTAGCAGCCCTGCGGAGACAGCGCCTGCTGGAATTCCCTCTCGCCGATGCCCAGGGAACGGCGCAGGCAGGAGAACACCGGCCCCGCAAAGGTCTGCATCTGGAAGCCCTTCCCCCCCAAGAACAGGCTTGCATTTCAGTCACATGGAGCAGCCTAGGTGGCCTGATGATTAAGATGGTGCATTACCACAGAACCTCAGATGCTAATGCTATGCTACAAGCCTTCAAAAGAACATGCTAAGCCAGGGCTACCAACTCTCACGCATCTGGCGTGACACTCACACTTTCAGACTGTCATGCTCACACAAGAAACCTTATGGTAAATATATACTATTCCGTTATTAACCTAAAATTAGCTACATCAAAAGTGTTGGGATAATTTGTAAACTTTACAGACTATTTACCAGGTAATTAAAAGCATGTAATATGCATGTAAATGTGTGTGCAAATTTGTCTTGAATTGAAAATCTCATGCCAACCAGCTGACCAAAGTTGATGACCCTGGTTAATTTAAACATAAACATTATGGGACAATAATAATCATACCCGATTATCCGTAACCACCATACCCCACACCTCACTCAGGACCTTTCCACTGTCCCTGCGATTCACACACTCAACTTAGTCAAGCGATAATCTTCTCCTGAACTTCCCCTACACTCCGATCGCACCTGGTGTGTTTGAGTGACCTCCATATTGAAGTCTTCTTCAGACAGCTCATTCTAGGAGAGAGGAAAAGGTTAGAGTATAAAACACTTAGATTTTTGTAGTCTTACAATAGCCATTTGCAAGTCATTTTGCAGCAGACATAATGGACAAAACAAGCAAACTTGGGTTTTTTTTTAAATGAAGTATGATTTTATGTGTATGTATATGTGTGTGTGTGCACGTGTGTATGTGTGTGTATGTATATTTGTGTGTATGTGTGTGTGTATGTATATGTCTGTGTATGTATATTTGTGTGTATGTGTTTGTATATGTATGTGTATGTGTGTGTGTGTGTGTGTGTGTGTGTATATATGTGTGTGTATGTGTGTGTGTGCCCTGTGTTTTATGAGAACACTGCGTCCAGGTACTGGGTATGCAGTATGGATGGTGTTTATTTTTCAATCGTTAAAAATATGAATCTTGACATAAATTCCAGCGTGTATGTGACTAGAGAGTGTGTGTGTGAGGGTGTGTGGCTGGAGAGTGTGTGTGTGAGGGTGTGTGGCTGGAGAGTGTGTGTGTGAGGGTGTGTGGCTGGAGAGTGTGTGTGTGAGGGTGTGTGGCTGGAGAG